ATACAGAGGGTAAAAAATTTCAGGGGAATTGATCTGTTACTAACGATCTTGTATAAACGAACTAAGGTGGGGGACGAGAGCTGGAGCTCGATAACTGTTTTGATCTTATTTACGGTGCCTGAAATACAGAGGGTAAAAATTTCAGGGAAATTGAACTGTTACTAACGATCTTGTATAAACGAACTAAGGTGGGGGACGAGAGCTGGAGCTCGATAACTAAATTACTGTATTGAACTACGTTTGAATATGATTATTTTTAAATTTTAGAGGGATTGGAATGATAGTATTCATTATACGACAGGGGACTAAGGCGGGGGAACGTGAGCTAGAACATGCTTACTAACACGATTTATTTGTGTAAAACTGACTTGCTTAATGAAAAGGAGCAAACATACGATGTTGGAAAATAGTTGAACTGAACTGAATGAAAGGAGAGAGAGAGGAGGGACGGTCCAGATATTATGGAGAAGAAAAGATAAGATATGATAAGAGGAGACCTACAAGAAGCGTCTGGCTGGCTGGGCGTAAGGTAAATAAAGGTGACGCGAGAGATTGCGAGGTAAGGGGGGAGGGAGGGGGTGTGAGGTATGATACTTGAAAACCCTGACTTACACAGGTGATTTTCTAAATTTATATGAAAACTATGGTTTACATAGACGATATTTGTAAGTTGAAAACATGTAAAATATGTCCGTAGAGTTCTCATGGAAACCCTAAAGCGCTACATACGTTACTTGAATTTCTCCCAAAGGCCTTAACAAACTTCTAAGTCTCGGAAATTATTTTTCTCATAAGAATTCCATACTTCTAAAATCTGTGACTGACAAAATTTACCTGAAAACCCTGGCTTACAGACACGATATTTCACAGAAAACAAAAAAATTACCTGTGCGTCTTACACCGCACAGGGGTCCTCCGCCCAAAAAAAAAAAAATTACCTGTGCGTCTTACACCGCACAGGGGTCCTCCGCCCAAAAAAAAAAATGACCTGTGCGTCTTACTCCCTACTACTAATAGGTACCTGGGTGTTAGTCAGCTGTCACGGGCTGCTTCCTGGGGGTGGAGGCCTGTCGTCGAGGACCGGGCCGCGGAGACACTAAAGCCCCGAAATCATCTCAAGATAACCTCAAGATAGCTCTTGTCATTATGGCTTCAGACCCCAAAAAAAAAGCACTAACGATGCACTTTATGTATGATTAACTTGATACATGCAGCTCTTGATAAAAATGAGTTCCCGGTTGGGTATTTGTGGACCTGCGTAAAGCTTTTGACACTCAACCACCAAATCACCACCTTAAATTACATCATTATGGAGTCAGAGGACACTCCCTGCAATAACTCAAATTTTACCTTACTGACAGGCTCCAGTATGTTTCTGTGAATAATTCAATTTCTCCCACCCTACTCATCAACATTGGAGTTCCTCAGGGCAGCATACTTGGCCCTCTCCTCTTTTTCATCTGCATTAATGACCTTCCAAATGCCTCTCAACACCTCAAACCAATTCTATTTGCTGACGACACAACCTTCATTTACTCTAGTCCTGATCCCCTTGCTCTAAATGCCACAGTAGATACTGAGCTAAATAAAGTCCATCTTTGGCTAACTGCCAACAAACTCACCCTTAACATTGACAAAACTTTATATATTCTGTTTGGCAATAAATCCTCTAATCAAATAAATCTCAAAATAAACAATACCCAAATTTGTAACAAATTAGATGGCAAATTCCTTGGCGTTCTCATTGACCAGAAGCTGAATTTCCAGGGACACGTTCTAAATATATAAAAAAAGTTTCAAAAACTGTTGGCATTCTTTCTAAGATCATATTATGTACCCCGCCCTGCCCTGGTGACGCTCTATTGCTCCCTCATCTATCCATATCTCAACTATGGTATTTGTGCTTGGGGCTCTACTACCCAAATCATTTACGTCCTCTATTTACTCAACACAAAGCTGCTATTAGGACAATATCCAACTCTGGCCCCAGACATCACTCTGTACCCTTACTCAAATCTCTGAATATGTTAGATATTAAGTCACTGCACATTCTCTCATGTGTATTACACATATATAAAACGCTAAACTGTAATGCCAATTCTGACCTCAAAAGCTTCATTGAAGGTTGTAACAGAACCCATGAGCACCACACCAGAAATAAACAGTTTTGATATTCCAAGAGTACGACTTAATCAAACTAGAAATGCTCTACAAATCAAGGGACCCAGAATGTGGAATGACCTTCCCAACCATGTTAAAGACTGTACCTCTCTCAACCAGTTTAAGATAAAAACTAAGTACTACCTAATAAATTCCCTGTAACCTACCTCACTCCTCTGTTGTCAACCAATGTCTCTTGTTTTTGTTTTTAAACAACGCTGTTTGTCGACCTAATTGTATTTGTGCTGCTTTTTCAGCCATGTTCCCTCCCCCCCTTTTTTTTTATCTATTTTTATTTGTTCTCAATACATTTTATTCTTCATACTCAATTAGTATTAAGCTTTAGTCATTAATGTTTTTCATGCCCGAAACGCTTTGCGTAATAGTGGGCTTTAGGCATTGTAGGTACTAGCTCTATCTATAAATCCATCAATCTTTGTAAAATCTCTTGTATGTATGTACCTTAAATAAATATATATAAATGTTTATTTACGTATTTATTTAAAATCCCCCAACAGGAACACAGGCTCAAGTAAGGAGTCAATAAGCATTTAAGATTAGTAAGAGAAAGTGGGACATTGGGGGGAGAAATGGAACACACTATACCATTTGCTCATAACGATATGGGCCGCACAACACTGAATGGGCGACCAAAAAAGTAGGGAGGGGGGAGGGAGGGACAAAGGGAATATCAGTATGAATCAAATAAGCAGCAGAGTTACGGGCCCCAGCAAAAGTTGGACAGGAGGCAGGGAAAGAAATAACTACAAGCATCGGCTCCTGGAGACGGACACAAAGCAGTGAAGTTGGAGTTTATGGAAGTTAGCATTAAATCCACGAATATTCTATTGAAGAATAGACTGTCAAAAGGAGAGAACAACAATAAGGAAGCAGCAAAGGCAAAGAAGAACACAGTATACTAAGTTTCAGGATCAGTGAAATCGGGGTTATGGGGCATAGGTAAATCTAGCAAGGACGACGGTGTCAAAGGATGGACCAGAGGCTGACTGACATTGTTTGGAGTGGGAGGAGGCATTGGAGAGAGGCAGTCAAGGGTTATCAGTTGCACAGGGTACAAACAGGGGGGAGCGCTCTTCATCAAGGGCAGCAACAGAGAATCGAGGACCAAGGGAACCTCCATAGCTGGGACAGGGGGACTGCCACCGAAATGGGAGGGGATGCAGGGATAGAGTCGGAGTTGAAAGGTGGGGAAGAGAGCCATGTCTTTATTCCCATTGGAAGGTGGGGGGAGAGAGCAGGTGGGAGAGAGAGCAGGTGGGGGAGAGAGAGCAGGTGGGGGAGAGAGAGCAGGTGGGGGGGGAGAGAGAGCAGGTGGGGGAGAGAGAGCAGGTGGGGGAGAGAGAGCAGGTGGGGAGAGAGAGCAGGTGGGGGAGAGAGAGCAGGTGGGGGAGAGAGAGCAGGTGGGGGAGAGAGAGCAGGTGGGGGGAGAGAGCAGGTGGGGGGGAGAGAGCAGGTGGGGGAGAGAGAGCAGGTGGGGGAGAGAGAGCAGTGGGGGGGGAGAGAGCAGGTGGGGAAGAGAGCGATGCATTCTTTCCCACCAGGGAGGAAGAATAGGAGCCAGGCTTATGTTTCTGAATTAGAATAATAATAAAAACAGGCGTACCAGCAAGAACGTACTGGGGGACAACTTCCATAGTCTCAACAGGAGAAGGAGAACGAGAGGGATCAACATTAAGATTGCCAGGATGAGGATGGACAACAGCCTGGATAGACAGGTGGTGTGCATGACCAAAAGAGACAGGGGAGGGCCGAGAAGAAGGCTTGGGGGGGGGGGGTTAAAGAGGGCACAGGAGACAATGAAGACGGACGGAATGAAGGAAATACCAGATGGAGAACCAGGAGGAATGGATGGCTCACTCTGGCTCAGAACACAAGGAGCAGATGGGGTGGTGTAGGTGTCTGGGTCCAAGGCCTGGAAACTGTTGAGACTGGGAAAGGAGAGGGCGAGAAGTGGAACGCAACACACGAGTGTAAGATGGGAGACAGTATGTGGAGTCTCGCCTCAGGAAAAAATAAATGGGTGGCATGCAAAGTGAAAATTAAAATTACAAATTGCTTACAGCTAATTTATGCAAGATAGAATTTCGGTTTATTTTTTTATTTTTAATAGTTTCTGAAAGAGGGTATAGCATTCACTGGAAAAATGGGTATTAGTCAATAGGATATCTTATAATTTTATTTTATAAAAAGGAGTACCACATCTGGTGCAGTTAGGGTCCCATAGCTTCCAAGAAGAGAATACGTTATTTGGAGATCTGGCAAATTCTCCCTGAACACTTTAGCATTTTTTCCCTCCTACTTCCCCTAATTTCTTTAATTTCATACATCACTTAGGTTTAATCTTCCCTATGAAGGCACTCAAACGAAAAAAAATTATTCAGTTACAGCCTGAAATAGTTCTGAAGAGCTGAATCTAAAGTTAGAATGAAAGATTCTGCTGTGGAAATAAGAGTACACTTGTACAATGAGTAACATCCGCTCCCAGTGTAGGGAGGGCAGGGGAGTGCATTAGAAGAGTTGTCATCTTAACAAGTACTGGTGGAGACATGTCCACACACACTTCAAAATGTTACATAACCAAACACCGATTGATTGATGAAGATCAAGACACCCAAGAGGTGGCACGGGCATGAGTAGCCCCGAAGACCAAAGACCACGTTTTTTATTTAGCTACTGTGAACAAGATGTCCACGTAGCAGCAGCTATACACTGCCCATAAGTGATGCGCGTATATAATGCCCACAAGTGATCCCCAAAGACCACATTCACCCCAAACATGTACCACCTACGGGTTACTCATGCTCGTGCCACCTCTTGAGGTGGCTTAATCTTCATCAGTCTCTAGTACTGACCGAGGAGATGATATCCTGGGTGTTGAGAGCGATGTGCTGGACGCCCGCACCGCCATAGTAGTCCACGTACTCCTGTATCTGGCTCTTCCTCCTCCCGGGCGCTGGCTCGTTGATGGGCATCTGTCAACACACACTTTAGCTCCTGGACATGGCTGCACCTCCCCCCACACACACACACACACACACACACACACACACACACACACACACGAGTGCGTGCATAAGTGCGTAGCCCGTCCTCCAAACAAAGACTCAAAAGTGATTCCATGCACCCGCCAAACCTCCTGTTTATGAATAAAAAATGTTTACACACGACTCGAATGATTTCGTTTGAAAACTTCCGGAACAAGTGCTTCGCTCACGTCCTCTGTTCAAACCACAATTCTATAAATGCTTCACCCATGAAATTATAAATACAAATAATTACCAACAGAGCCTAAACACCTAACCTAACCTACGCCAAACTACGCACACAATTTTTATGTACAAGAATATTAATTTATATACGAGTACAAACCAATTTTTAATACACAGTATGTTAAAATTGATGAATGTGTTTGGGGAGGACGGCCGCTGCTTCAAACAGCCTTGTGTGAGAACGGGTTGGTAAATGCTTCACCCACATATTACAAATACAAATTATCGCCAACAGAACCTAAAAACCTAACCTAACCTATGTCTACATATGCACAATATTATAATTTATATTTGAAAAAAATCGTCTTGAATGAACAGCATGTTAAAATTTATGAATGTGTCTGTGGGGTCGACCGCTGGATGGAATGGACTTCGTTGAGGACGGGTTGGATGAGTGTGGGGGGGGGGGGGGGGGGGGGAGGGGGAAGTTGATTAACAGTTGAGAGGCGGGCCAAAAGAGCCAGAGCTCAGTCCCATCAAGCACAAATGTGCGCTTTAAACTTTTTTCAAAGAAATTTCTTTATTAAAAAAAATTATTATATATATATATATATATATATATATATATATATATATATATATATATATATATATAATATATATATATATATATATATATAATATATATATATACTATATATATATATATATATATATATGTCGTACCTAGTAGCCAGAACGCACTTCTCAGCCTACTATGCAAGGCCCGATTTGCCTAATAAGCCAAGTTTTCCTGAATTAATTTATTTACTATAATTTTTTTCTTATGAAATGATAAAGCTACCCATTTCATTATGTATGAGGTCAATTTTTTTATTGGAGTTAAAATTAACGTAGATATATGACCGAACCTAACCAACCCTACCTAACCTATATATATAGGTAAGGTTAGGTTAGGTAGCCAAAAAAAGCTAGGTTAGGTTAGGTAGACGAAAAAACATTAATTCATGAAAACTTGGCTTATTAGGCAAATCTGGCCTTGCATAGTAGGCTGAGAAGTGAGTTCTGGCTACTAGGTACGACATATATATATATATATCTATATATATATATATATATATATATATATATATATATATATATATATAATATATATATATATAATGGCATTTTTAGCAAATAGTATATTGTTTGACTGCAACTATATAAACAGTTATAGTTGTATGTTAAGCAATGTGTGGAATGATGGGGGTAATGTGAATGAATATTATTTACACGAGGATGTATGTTATGAAGTATTCTTATTTTAGTCACATCCTGTATTATGACCGCTCCTCACGTCTGAGGTGCGGGGGTGTCACTTGTATGGCTCAATTTATATTGTATAATTTACACATTTGCCTCAAGATGAACGTTTTAAATTTAAACACATCATTTTTGTCGCATCTTTAAATGAATCTAATCCGACTTGTTGAGGTAGACGTGTGCTGGCACACTAACATTGCTCAGGTTCTGTTCATGAAAGTTCTTCAAAATGACTACAATTAGGAACATATGAAAACTTCCATAAAGTCTCACTAGTATCACTGTACTCCTGCACAACCAGCACGTCCACCTAAGATATCCTACACGTCAAGAAACTGTCGTACTAAAGTGCCTATCAGAGGACCCAAAACAGAAAACTGGACAGTGTCAAATTACCAAGCCGCTATCATTTTCTAGTATGACAATTTTCGGCTTTAGGCAGAGTATACATCAAAATGCATTGTTCTATTAGGAGGACGGGTTGCACAAGAACCTCTTCCGGAAGAACAAATGCCATTCCATCCTACCTTGATTGTTTCTTCCCAGTTGGTTACAACTATGGAGCGGAGGGCCGAGTACTCTGTGTGGATCTGCGTGTCGTCAACAGACCAGAATCGATGGAACATTAGGTGCTTCTCATACCAGTCAACCGTGCTCTCCATCTCCAGGTTGGGCTGGTTACCCACGATGTGGTCTATGAAGTCCAGGTGGGGTGCAGGTCTATCTCGGGGGAACAACACACTGTTAAAACCCATCTTAAAGGATGCTGGGCTCTGCCAAACATAACCCCCTCCCCACTGTGTGTGTGTGTGTGTGTGTGTATGTGTATGTGTATGTGTATGTGTGTGTGTGTGTGTGTGTGTGTGTGTGGTATGTGTGTGTGTGTGTGTGTGTGTGTGTGTATGTGTGTATGTGTGTATTTTATAAATTTATATATATATATATATTATATATATATATATATATATATATATATATATATATATATATATATATATATATATATATATATATATATATATATATATATATAATTTATTTATTTTCCGTTATTTATATTTTCCGTCGAAAAAAAAAAATGCAGAGTAATGAAGCAGAGTTGTTTAAGAGAGAAGAGATCCCACACACCACGAGGTACTATAGACAAAGGGTCGGGAGTCACTTGTGCGCAACAAGTGCAGTTGTGACAATGGAACTTATTCGTCAAGTGAATAGTTAGAATAAATGGACCTCCACTTTAGGAAATGTATTTACCATGCTCCTTTCATTCAAACTAGAACATGTATCCATAGTTTACATTAATTGTAAGTAACTCTTCTCTGATGGTAATCAAATCCTCAGATAACTAACATTTCTGTGTCATTGTCCATGGCTCCCATCCCATGATCTCCTGCAAATGCATATGATTTACGTTGACCAGACCACACACTAGAAGGTGAAGGGACGACGACGTTTCGGTCCGTCCTGGACCATTCTCAAGTCGAATCTCAAGTCACAATCGACTTGAGAATGGTCCAGGACGGACCGAAACGTCGTCGTCCCTTCACCTTCTAGTGTGTGGTCTGGTCAACATGCTTTAGCCACGTTATTGTGACTCATCGCCTGCATGTGATTTACCATTGTTGAGGACAGGAAGCCTGTTAGGCTTATCAAGGTCCCCCTTAACTTGCTCTTTAAGAACATATGATGTTTGGGCATTTTTCCCCTGCCCCTGATGCCTCTGTTTAGACCTGTAAGTGGGCACCTCCGGAGTTTGGCAATTGTTGGTGGCCTTCTGAAGAAGGTCACTTTCCAACCGTCCAAGTGGTTGGGCACCATTCCTTTCCCTCGTCCCATCCCAAATCCTTATCACTGACCCCTTCCAAGTAAGTAAATCAAAAGAAGGCTCCAAGCCAGGGAGTCAATGTAGCACCATCAAAAGTGCGGGATATTAAAAAAATGCGCTAAATATCACTAAGGAGGCCAATACAAGAACAAAAGCACACAAGACAAACATCAAAGTTATTCGATTCCCTAAGGCTTCTACCGCGGGACAAGTGAATGCGAGAGACGGTCGGGAAGCAAGACACATCCTGGAAGTCAGGACACTCAACAAGGCATATGCACGACCATAAGAGGGACAATGCAGTTTGGACAAGAAGGAGCAGGATAGCGCTCCATTAAATGTCCGTGAGTTATACGGGTATGGCAATACTTTACTTTTCCAGAGCCGTTTCCCACCGCCGATTACAGTGGTAGGAGGCAGGCCATGGGGACACGCTTTTAGCGCGCAGTTTGTTACCAGATCCAGCCAATGGGCAAGAGGAATGAATAATTGGGTAAAAGTAAAAATAAGGAACACCTTTGCAAGGAATGGGACAAGTGCAGATAGCCTCCATCGCTGAAGCATCCTCACGCTCATATAAGGAAACTTCAGTGTGGCTGGGAACCGAGCAAAACTCTTAAATCTCCTGGAGATAAGAAACACCCAATATTGAATTTCGACAATCACAGGATGGACAGGATTAAAAGACTCCGAAAACGACGCTGAAAACAACATTGCACAGACCATACACACTGACGGATCACTCAATACAGCTACAGGGAGGGCAGGAAGTGCTGTTATTGCTCATCAGCCTGATGGCAGCACAATTCAAAGAAATATCCGAATTAGTAACTGGGCGTCCACAATGCAAGCCGAGTTGGTAGCGATACTGGTAGCACTCGAAATTATTGACAACACTGAAGTAGACAACTTAATTATTTCTGACTCCCTATCCTCACTACGAGCAATAAACAGTTTGCAATCAAGTAATAACGTGCTTGTCTTGGAAGCTAGACGTAGATATATAAGAATACTTAGCAAGAGGGTAAATATAAAAATGATGTGGATTCCTTCTCACATTGGCATGAAGGAACATGTCAAAGTTGACGCCCTTGCTAAGGCTGCAGTAAATAAAGACAGTATTGAATGGAATCTTGAGTTATCAAATAGGTCCCTTAAAAGTGTCATTAGACGAGAACTCCTAGATGGATTGAAGAAAGTAGAACAGTGCAAACTGGAACTAGTAGGTCCATTGTTCATCACAATGAAATGTGTGAAGTAAAACATGTGTATGGGGCAAGTAACAAAGTCAGTAGACTAACAGATGTTGTCACAGCTCGTATAAGACTTGGCTACAAGTATCTCTGGCAGTTCGGCTTGTATAGGGATCTAGATGAAGTAAAGTGTAAAGTGTGTGGACATAGGCAGGGACACACACTCGAACACTATATCTTGGATTGTTGTAAAATTGAGCCTTTTAGAGATAAATCTAAGCTCACTCTGTATGATATGGCAACCTATCTTATTACCATGGATAAATTACCTGAAATCCTTGCACTGTACCCACATTTTACTTCCAGTAGATGAACGACATATGAGATTCAGAAACAAGTAGTGTATTGTGAGGACTAATAATAAACAGAAGCTCCCCCTATGACTCTAATATCCCCATTGGCCAAACTATTATGTATTAACGATAAGACCTACCATTAATGTATGATGACTTACTGTAAATATGTAGCTCTTGTAATAGCACTTTCTCTGTAACTAGCTGACATTGTATCTATAAGGTGTGAAGGATTGAAGAAATTGTTTATGTAATAATCTAAGATGAGGTCTGATAAAGACCTTTTGTGCCCTCTGTAATGCTTTTGCGCTACCGCTCACAGGATGAGTATGGGGTGCACAATACACTACCGCTCACAGGATGAGTATGGGGTGCACAATACACTACCGCTCACAGGATGGGTATGGGGTGCACAATACACTACCGCTCACAGGATGAGTATGGGGTGCACAATAAACTAGCCGCCTTCGGCGGCGGCAACAACAAAAAGACTCCAGAGCCATGAGGGCACTGTAACAGTTCACCAACAAGAGAGATGAATGAATGCAAAAAGCATTTTTAAGAAGAGCATACAAAATTACATAAAGCTCTGCTATGAAAATGCTAATGTTGGGAGGCAGGCGTCACAGGTGCAGTCAGGAAATACAACGTGAGTAGCCTACATCGAATGCAGACTTGGACCCATCTGTTTAGACGGAGGAGGAGCGGGAGTGTGAAGAAAAGTGAGCAGAGAAAATGCGTTTCAGAACTGTTAGAGGGATAAAAGCTTTAGTGCAGCCGATGAGTCACAATAACGTGGCTGAAGAATGTTGACCAGACCACACACTACGTGAAGGGACGATGACGTTTCGGTTCGTCCGGACTATTCTCAAGTCGATTGTGCTGAAGAAAAAGCTTTAGTGATGTGGGTCAAGATTCTACAATACTTAGGAAGAACAACTCTCCATGGGGGTAAGGATGGAACGACATGAGGAGAAACAATGGTAACACGAACCGAGAGAACACCTTGCAAGCGAGAATCTTACAGAAAGGGGAGGGGGTGAAATATGGCCCACAGGAGAGATAATGGTCAAGATATGACAAACGAGAGAGTTGTAGGGACTGCACAAGGTAGCAAAGACAGTAGCAAACACGGAGATCCTATAGAGACAGGATGCCAGTTTCAACATGCATGCTCTGGGCAGGAGTTGAACGAAAGGCAGCAGAGCCGAGGCATAGCCCAGTATGATGAGCATCAAGACGAAGAGTTGAGGGAAAGGCAGACGAGTAAGCAGGACAGCCATAGTCCAGATTAGACAGCTCAAGAGAGGAATGTAAAGACAGCTCAAGAGAGGAATGTAAAGACAGCTCAAGAGAGGAATGTAAAGACAGCTCAAGAGAGGAATGTAAAGACAGCTCAAGAGAGGAATGTAAAGACAGCTCAAGAGAGGAATGTAAAGACAGCTCAAGAGAGGAATGTAAAGACAGCTCAAGAGAGGAATGTAAAGACAGCTCAAGAGAGGAATGTATAGAGGAGCGTGCTCCTATTAGCTTCCCAAGAAGTATGGAATAAGACCTAAATTTAGTTAAAGGCCTTAGAGATAAGAGATTTGGGGTGACGAAGACAAACTAGTGTCAAATAATAACCTCAAACGTTTAGCAGAATTCTTGTACAAAAAAGGATTGCCATAAAGCGACAGAGGGGGTCGAAGAACGACCTGCTTCTGAGTAAAGGTCATTGCACAAGTCTCAGCTGTAGAAAACTTGAAGCCATGATTGATGCCCCAGGACAACACGGTATCAATCTCAAGTTAAAGCTGCCGTTGGAGGAAAGGCGAGTCATCACCTTTACAGCAGAGGGCAAGATCAACATATAGAGCAGAGAAAATGTCAGAGGGAAGGGAGGAAAGAAGACCACGAAGGGAAACCAGAAAAAGAGTAGTGCTCAGAACACTACCCTGGGGCACACCTTCGTAATGTATTGCTGAAGAGGCAGAGGGTCGGGTACCAAGCCGCATTCGAAAGGAACGGCGAGAGTGGAAGCTCTCAAGGAAGAGAGATTACCACGAAGACTAAAAGAATGGATTTTGGACAGAATATGGTAATGCCAGGTGGTGTCACACCTTTCCAGGTCAAAAAGGTCAGCAACCATGGAGGTCTTCACAGCAGAGGCAGTACGAACAGAGACCACCAAGTTTACGAGGGCATCAGCCGTGCTGCAACACTTGCAAAAGACAAACTGAAAAGGGGAGGTGGTGATAGCGTTCCAAGAACCACATCAGACGGACATTGACCATATATTCAAAGAGTTTGCAGATGCAACTCGTTAGAACAATGGGGCGGAAGTCTTTAGGGGGTCATCCCCTAGAG